TCCATTTTATAACGTAAGCTGCGAACATTCGCGTAGAAACGCTTTACTTTTCCCTGCCTTTCCTGCATACCAGTACTCGGCGGTCTAAAGCTGCTCGCAGTGGCTGTCCCTTCCTCGTGATCCCTTGCCCCCCCCCCATCTAAAAGCCTAAAAAAGGCTCCATTTCCTACATGATAGCCAATCCAACTGCTCCAGCTCCCTCTTTCGAGAAATGTCACTCCGTCCCTAGCCATCGGACTTTTACAATGCCTCAGAGCTTCCCTAGTGTCCAGAAACACTGCCCTCTCCGCGATACACAATCCTTTAACCTGTCGTTAACCCCTTCCGACCTGGACCATGTGTTCTTCCCTTGTCTAGCCGGCTCGAGATCGCGCATATCGTCACTCGCAACCCCGACCCATTCCTCCTGACACGCCCTAATAGCCTGCCTCGGCCTACCCATGATGAGTTCAGAGCCCAACTTGGGAGAATCGTTGGTCCCAACGTGAAGGATGATGATGATGCCTGCCCCCCTCCATCCAGGAGTGGCATGCCACTGTTTGGTAGAGGGGTCAAAGGGAAATCACCCTCTACCCTCAGGGGAGAGGAAGACAGATGACATTTATTAGCTCCTTTGAAGATTAAAAGTGTAGCAAGGTTGGACCGGATAGACTGGTTCAGGGGGTTCAACCCCCCCCCCCCGAAATGAAATCCTAGATACGGCCCTGGTTTCATTTGAATCACGGCCTTCACGCTGTGCGGCATTCTTCTACATGACGGAGTTTGAGAGCATTTCAGGCATCTTGGACAGCCTAGAAAAATTCGTCTGAGAAGAAAGTGGCTCTCTTGCAATTTCCTGCCAATTAAATAAAAAATGTTTGTGTGAGATTGCAATCGGGAGAATTTCATGGTCAAAGATATTGATGACATCATGGTGGCATGCACTGCTGCACGGCACGCTGCACTTAGGAACTTAAAAGAGATAGTCCGAACCCCGTGCCCCCTCAAGGAGCAGCCATGCAGACACTTCTCCTCAGAGATGGTCAAAATAGCGACGCATCATCTGCATAGGGCTCACGATATTACCATCTCTCTCTCTCTCTCGATTGCTTCAGATTTTTTCATACGAGGAGTAGTTGATTGTTTTCAAACAGCAATGTGTATGTAGTGAATGACAAGTCAGACGTTACTTGCTGACACTCGCAAGTGCCATCGTACAGTTTGCTCAATGCCATCAATGTCTTGGGCGAGAAACGATCCAGCTGAAAAATCAGGGAGGAGGAGGAGGAGGGGGGATTGCAATGGAATCTTCTATCTCCACGGTCTCTGACCCGGTGCTATCGCCATTCAGCTACAAGGACTCATTCATCCGACTGCCTCAGCTCTCAAACTCTCATCATAGCATGGTGGCCACACGGTAATGTCTACTGTAATTACGATAATTCCATTCCATTTCCGCTATCATGCCAAGATAAGAGAGTCATCGTCGAGGCAGTATGAGAAGTGAGGCTTCATAGCAGAACGGTTAGATCACCGGTTCAGAGAACCCGGGGACCGGAGGATGACGGAGGAGGATGGGGGATGCCATTCCCCCTCCGAATCTCGAGTTCTCGGCTGCCTCGGGTGTCTCTCTCGACTCGCCCAGATGGAATCGAGCCAAACAAACGGTGCCACCTACGAGTTTCCTACTCCTAGGAGGGAATCCTACAACAGAAAGCCCAGCTACGATGAAATGCGAACCGAGCACCTGACAGACGAGGGCAAATGTCACACCGAAGTTCACTTGGCATCGGCTGCAACTGTGGGGCATCACGCTGTCGAGTAGATCTTGGGTGAACAACAACCAATGAAGTAGGCGTAAGATTACATGGGGAACTGATAGGGAAGAGAGAGAGCATGCCCAAGGACCCAGCATTTCCCAAACTGTGGGTCTCGACCCCCCGAGGGTCTCGAATCGGTCACAGGGGGTGTCGGGAAAGAAACATGGAGAGGCCGCGAAGGGGTTACAGGGTGACGCGATCGGATAGCAGCAGCAAATCGTTTTCACGGCCTTCACCAAACCTGTCGAAGGGTGCTGACCAGGAGAAAATTATTTTTCCGGTGATTTATTTTTTTATACCACTGCAATTAGAAGAAACTCCACTTGAGGAATTTTCCCCTGAGCAGGTCGTTAACCCTCTCGGTGACGACGCCGGACCACGCCCTCATTTGTCTTTCCTGCTGCCTGCCGATCGTGGGTGGAAAACCCCTCGCGCCTTCACGATCTGGCAGCAGTGGAGTCGGTTGTATCGTATTGTTTATGTGCCTAGTTCATGATGATTACATTTGTCATTCTGGAATTTAAAAAAAAATTGATATTCTACAGTATGCCAATCCTGGACGCGTCGATAGTTCCGACACGAAGAGGGTTAAAATTTTAGTTGAAAAAAAGTAAAACTGCTGACACGGGACGGTAACTTGAATTTTTGCAGATGCAACGTTAATGGGCCATGGATATATCTTTTTAAAAACGTTTTCCAGCAAACGCAGCATCGTTTTGGCACATGTTCATGCATTCGCAAATCGCAAAAATATTGTGACGGGCAGAAACGGCGATTACTCGATTTCCCGATTGAAACGCGCTCATCCGAAGAATTCCGAACGTCGCAGAATAACGAATAACTAAAGAAAGAACTAATAAATAATAACTGACTGAATGAGCTGTACTGCTGCGTCACTGCGCTTTTCAGATTATAAATTAATTTAATCTAGAGTTACACAATAAAAAGATAACTTCCGTGCTTTCCTGGAAATTTCTTTCTTTCCGCTGAAATGTCGGAGACAGAGAGAGACCGGTTTTCTTATCCTTGGACAAGAAAAGACCGGTCTTTCCATCTGTCACATGTAATCTAAAAAAAAAACCAACCACCTGGCGTTCCGACGGGCCTGCATCTTTGGATAAAATCCTTTCTTTTCGCTTTTATTGCTCAAAATTTCGTGTCGCAATCGCGGCGACTTTTATGTTGTCGGAAATCTGTGCTCGTCTCCTCTGATGCAAACACACGAAGATTCTTGCAGGTTTTTCGATCGGGCAATGAGGGAAGATGGGATCCCGGGCAACACCGCTCAATGTTTATGTATATATATATCTATATATATTTCCAGATTTTCCATTGCAGTGGAAGAACAGAAATTTCCAAGAAGCCGCGGGAGGAAGATATACAAGATAAAGAGGTCAATATTCAGGCCGTAAATTTTTATTGTTTCCACTCCATCAAGGTTTCTAGATCTTCTACTGATATCTCTGAATGCTCAGCACACATTTTCAATGTCGTCGAGCATCGAAGGGGGAGTCGCGAGCCGTTGGCCTCCCATGAAACGGGATCGCGGACCCATAAATTAAGAGTCCCTGCCATGGACTGCGATGGGGAAAGGGGGGGAGGGAATGCCCACGCCCACGCAATAAAAATATATATATGAAGACCCTTTTCGGCTCGTTCTCCGTCTGGGGAACTTGAAATGCATTCCAGGTGAAGGTTCCCGAGACAAATCTACTGCCTGGAACCGATCGGCTCAGCAGCAAGCCAATGTCGTGCTGCTTGACAGTTATGGCTATGATGCAACGCGTGATGTCGAGCTTCAAAGGGAAAAGCCGATATTGTGTGAAAAGAAGGGCAGAGTCCGGGCAGAAGCCTGGGCCGATAAACATAAAACTATTTTGCAATAAACATGAAACTGTTTTGCTAAGCCAGCGTAAAGTTTTCGGCGAGGCTAGCGCGAGCCTGCACGAATCGCCTCTGCACGATTAATCCCAACATACTTGAAGCATTTGGCAATGGCACGGGTTGCTCTACCCGAAGGGCCTGAGGCGCACGACTGAAGAAGCGATTGAAATGGCAAACCCAGGTCGCTGGTTGTCTGTCTCCTTGTCGCCGGGCGACGATTCCGGTTTTTCAATTTCACGCACTCCGAGAACGTTTTCCCGGTGCAAACCGATGCCGAAATCTTTCCGTGGAATAAATCCCTCGTGAAAAGCCCCTCTGTGGCATCACACTCTTCCCTCCCGAATACAAACCTACTCGATGCTCTCTGTGCGGCTGCGACGTGACGCATCATCCCTTCTCCGAGAGATTAGATAGGTGTACGCAACGCTTCTGCCGTTTCACAATCTCCTTCGCCAGATTCTCGAACGAATGATACGGTTCTCCAGTTCCCATCTGCAGCAACAATCGTCCCTTTATTTTTTTTTCTTCGTTCTCGTGCGTTGCCGGTGACGGGATCCAATTTGCATTGCACCACCGTCTTCGATAACAGGCCGTTATTATTATTATTATTATGAGAGAAGGAATCTCTCGATGATTGCTCGAGAGGGAGGAAAGGCGAGGGAGTTTCCTGTCGGTGGCTGGATCTCCAAATACCGGCGGGAAATGAGTAGAAAATGGTCTCGAATTATTGATGATGTAGGTATGGGCACGACGGGATCGATTGTTTTTGAGTAAGTTTATGACCACTTTCTCCCTTTCAACCTTTCACCCTTCCCCTTTATTATTTAAGCTACTTCAGAGCATAAAGCATTATTTATTGACTGTAGTCAACCCCATTTCTACTAGACTGCATAATGCACAGAGTCGGCGCCAGAAATGAGGCGAATGTGTTTGGCATCATGCCTTCATCGAAGTCCGGTGCTTTGTGACTGGGCTTCTGGGTGGGTTCTTCGATCCCCATAAATGTTACCTCCGGTCTGACATCTAGGCCAATATTATCATATATATGAGAGTATTGGGTGTAGGGATCTCTCTCAAGAGACAGCCGTGAAGTGAAAGCAAAGTTAGTCGTTTCTTGGTGTCCTGGCTCCAGCAGAACATCCTTCAAATATTTAACGTGCCATTTACGCTTCAGATGTTCTGGTCAGACCTTGAGTCGCATGTCCAAACATAAAACTCTGCGCAGTCGAACTCTATTATTATGCCATTGAGGGAACGAGGGAAAAAAAATTGTGGTACCGGAGGTTCGAAATTATCTACAGGTATGATGAAATTTTCCTATTTGCGAAATCGGATGAGCCAAATCGGAAGCCCATGTTCACGACCATCTTCTGCTTTCCTTTGCCCATTTCCTCTCATGTGAATAGTCACTTTCTGCTTTCTCGTGAAGGTGTGCCTCTTTCGCTTTGCGCTAGCCACGAGTCCACAAGTATTGTGTATAGAAACAGAAGATTAAGATCTGTTGGCGACCGGGAATTTTCCCTCCGAGCGTCGGGGCGGTCAGAGGCGGAACAAGCCTCCTTTCCCACTTAAAAAAAAAGCAAAAAGGAGAAGGAAAAGACGCACGAAATGCACGAGAACATTGTCCTTGCGGTCCCGTGTCCTCCACTTTCTCCATGCAGCTTCGCTTATGCACCCTCCTACAGTCAAGCACAATGCATTCACATGAGACCCTTCAGGAATGCAGAGTTCAGAAAAGAGAAAGTTAGAGGTTGCTGATGATCAATGTTTTCAACGAAGGAAATTCCAATTATCAGGGTGCATTATGACGAATTATTAACTTAGAAACGGCAAATTTAGCCGGTGGAATGAAAATGGACTTCGCGATAACGCGATAAACGTGCTCGTTTTAACGAGGTGTCTGAATCACATTTGCAGACTTAGCTCTTGCAGAACATCCTTCAAACCTCTAACTCGGCATTTACACTTTAGATGATGCGGTGGGTCGTATACTGACGTCTTGAGTGCGAGTTTTATTTTTCTGAGGGGTCTCAGGGGGCCCCTCAGTTAGAGATACTGAGCTTCAGGAACAACAAAGGGAAGTGCGAGCACAATTTTAAACATTGGACCTCTACAGCTCGATAAATTTGCTGCGACTCAGCTCATCGATGCTTGGTTTACACGTCTCTGCACAATTTACTTCCTACTTAGTCTAGAGGAGCGTTGACTCACTGTGCCACTGGCCCATTGTAGGAAAAGCGTGTCACGTTTACGGGAAAAGGAGTGGGTTGGTTCAAGCACAGACTGCCTTTGTGGCATGCCCGTCTGCATTCTCACGCATTCCCTGAAGTGAAGGAACGGGAAAGCTTCTATGCGGCTAGAACCATCGCATCGCACTGGTTGTACTACCAGGAAAATATAATCTGATTTACGAGGGAATAAGCCACCGACAGCTTTTTCATCAGGCGAAAGCCTGACATATTTGGAGAGCTCACAATTCCTCTTCTGTTCTTACCGTTGCCTCTCCCAGGTGAATAATGAAAGCCACAATAGAAAAAGAATAATATATTTCAATAAAGAAAGCTCTAATGATTGTGAAGACAACCACGGAAGACCTGTTAATGATAACAGAGGAAGAGTGTGTGTGGGAAAGAGAAAATTAAGTAGTTCCACCTGAGTCGTCAAAGTGCAGAGAGAGCCATGAGTAACCGCATCCCGGTATAATTTAGGAGAAAAAGTCGTTAACTCATGTTTACGGAAGTCAGTAAATCACCAAATACTTCATATCTTATCAAAGTTAATTCATGAGTGGAACAAACTCACGTGTTCACCGAAAAAATGATGCAAAATGCCATATGGAGATTCTACATTGCAAACAGATGGAGAAACACGGGTCATCTAACAGTCGCAAGCTTTCTCCGTGGTCGCTCGCCTCCGCTCAAGCTCCGCTCATTGTGAATTTTTCACTTAGTCACGAAGCCATGCTTTACTTTTCGTCATCTTATAATTGTATGATAGCAGCCCATTTTACTCTAATCTATTCCATGGACTCTATGCATACGAAGTCTCTAACATCAAGTAACGTAGGGGCTAAACATCGATAGCTATACTTTACTTAAACTGAACTGTCGACCATACTTCTTGGTCAATTCTTCGACAAATTCGTGTTTGAGGATCTTGAGGCACTTCCGATATTGAGCCGAGGAGCGGAATCGGGCAATGTCCAGACTCGGAGCATGGGGCATGTGAATGATGAATGCATTCGGCAGGACATCAAATTCGTACCCCTGGGCTTCCAATTCCATGATGTGGGACACCTTATTCCATCCGAAGCCCACGAATCTGGTATCGTAGAAGGGCACATCTGCGCCTACGACTACGTAAGGCTCGAAGTCGGGTTCCCACTCGACCGGGTAAGGTGTTGTAGCCGTTCTCCACCTGGCGTAATCGGTCGGGAAATGGCCTTTCGTCCAGACGTGGTAGCGGAACGTGATGATCGTCCCCATGTCCAATAGTTCGAGAAGCTTGGCCTTGGACTTCGGGAAGGTGAGTCGGTACCTCTGTGTCTCAAAGGCAGGCACGATCAAAGCCTTTTTCTTCAGGTTCATCTTCATTACAGCCACGGCTTTCTTGAGAACTTCGTACAAATCGTACGAAGGGAGAAAGTCGACGTCGGTGAGGAAGACGTAGGGAGTATTCACATTCTGCAGACCTACATTCCTCAGGAAGTTCACTGGGTAAAAATTCCCCTCTTTGTACACGATGTGATAGGCGATGTTCTTCCGACTGGAAAGCAGTTCGGAGGAGAGGACATAGCTGAGAAACTGCTGGGCTTCTGCATCTGAAAGATAAAGGGTGAGGCTGATCGGTCCTTCCCAATGAAGACACAGGGGCTCTACCATCTGGAGACGATCCATCGACAATTGAGCCAGAAGTGTCACATCACTCCCATCTGGAGACGGTTCCCACTTGTATTCTAGGAAGAAGAGGTGTGTTCGATAATTGGTGGCATGGGCTCGGCGGAACTCGTAGCACGGATCTTCTTCGTTCAGTTGGATGATTGCAGCATCTTGCGATGATACCTTGGAGGAATTACAACTGAAGAGCTCCCGTCTCAACAGGTTCCCGTCGTACTCCAAGAACGTGAGGTAGAGATTCCGGAAGTACTGGACGTGTTTGTTCTGGACTTTGAATTTCTTTGGAGAATTCCAGTGGATTGCTTTGAGATCGGCAGCTGCAGTGTAACAGAGCTCGCTCAGCGTGTTGTCGCCGAGCTGCACGTTCCACTGGCACGGCAGCATGTAGACGAGATGCGGGTACGTTTTGATCACAGCGTTCAGAATGTCTTGGTCGGCTAGAGACGTGGCCAAGTGAGTGACGAGATCTCTCTCGGCCACCAGCCTCCATAGCTGACTCCACTTCATGCTTCTCAGCTTCCCCAAGTCCATCAATATCACACCGGTATTGAACCCACGCCCCAAGGCTGGCCAGGGACGATGGTGTTTCCACAGCTTCCCCAGATACCAGTCACTTTGGTTCTCCACTAATCCTAGGGCTTGGTTAGCATTAAGTCTCTTGAAGAGGGCCCAGAGCTCAGCTATATCAGTCGCCACCACAATGTCTGTATCAAGGACAATGGTCTTGTGTAGCCAAGCAGGAAGGATTTTTGGAAGAGTGAGTTTCATGAGACCATACACTCCAGAATAGTGCTTATTTGGGATCCAAAACACTTCATTCTGGACGTTGTCAGCAAGATAGAAGCTGACCTCCACTTGAGGGATGTTCCATGTTGCAAACAAGCGCTGAAGAATCACTTCAGCCACAGAATCAGAGATGAAGTGGAAGTGCAAGGGATTTTTGCGATGAAACAAAATGGACTTGATCAGAGTGACCACAGAGCGACTGGAGTTGTAGCCAGCACACACAATAGCAACATGGAGAGTCTCGCACTTGCCAACTTCGTCATGCTCGATGCATTTTACTGATTCATCTGTTTTATCTTTTAAGGGTTCATTAGAAGCATTTGAGAGGCGCATGGAATCAGAGATAACACTGAGAAGCTGGTTCTGTGAGAGGGAAAGCTGGCGACGGAGAAGATGGTTCTGCTCCTCCACCTCACGCACACGCTGGGCTAGGCGTTCTTCCCGGCGGCTGAACCCAAGGAGATTGTCACCCTCTGGGTACTCATTGGAGAACTTGTAGAATACCATGCAGCAACTGAGGAAGGCAAAGACAGTTACAGCTGTCATCCAGTGTCGAAGGTGAAGATAGCCAAACCAGGAATTCTTTTTCCTCTTTCCCATTTCGTCTGTAGCCTCCGAGCACATGTGTCACTTGGACACTGAAACTGCATCCTTCATCTGCCACAATGAACACAACAAATGTTCTTTGAATATTACACTCATAAAGGAGGGGAAATCAAAACTACTATGAAAGATTGCTGAAGTTTCTGGTGCCAAGATGGAGGGAGAGAAACCTCCACTCAACTCAAGGAGATGAGGAGCATGGCAAGGAATTCAAGGAATGTTTCTTTGTAATAGAAATCTATACATCAAATAGCAATAGCAAGGAAACTGTATTGACTTAAGAAAGTCATAATAAGCATGTCATGAACATCAAAATATTACAACGGGATAACAGATCTTGAATACCAGTGTCATCTGATTAACAGGATATGGTTTCGAGTCAAACACTTTCGAACTGCAAATTCTGGAGTAGGAGGGAGATTCTTCAATTGCCCTGTTACAGAGTAGGCATCAAGAATGTGAAGAGCCACAAAAGGCATCAAAATGCAAAAATCAAAACAATGCATTATTCTGGAACTAGAAAGAAAATGTCTGTATACAGCACCAAGTCATGAGTAATAAAATCCAAGAGATGGATGGCACATAGTATTGGCACGAACACCAGATTATCACATATCACATTGATCTTCCTGAAAGAGCATTATACCACTGACAGTTGCACATAATGGTCAATGGATGTAATTTCATAATGGTCTTCAAGATAATTAAAAAAAAAGTCCTAATGCCCAAGATGAGCAAAATAATTCAGAATGACAAGAGTAAGTCAATATGACTTTCAGGAGGATGAGATACACAGACATCATGGAGTCATATGAGCCAAAAGACTTGGAAATCAAAGGGATAGGGGAATATCCATAGATGAATGCCTCTGTTGATGAAGGCGACGATGCCTTCGTCGACGTCTCCGCCATTTCTGCTGCTCTCCCATCTCCTGCTTCTCCGTGCGACTGCTTGCAGACACATAAGAGTAGTGGCTATTATTTTATCTATTTCATCCCAGCCCAGACATTAGGAGTGAAGGTGGTACTGACTCCTGACGAAGTGCCTGCCGCTCTCTGTATGCCCGCTGCCGAGGGGTGATTTCATTCCTGACAGTGCAGTCTTTGGCTCCCTTGCATGAATGAAGGTATTCTAGCTGTGAATGTAAATATTTCTCTTCCTCCTCAGAAAGCATGGGTGCTATATTGCGCAGCTGAAAGGGATCTGCAAATTACATAATAATCAACAAAATATTCAGTAAGACCTGACCTCATTGTATGGAACGTCAGCTCACCAATATTTAGGTTGAAGAACATGACAAAATCATACTGGAACTCGCAATAGAGGATATTGTGTGTATCATTGATGGTGCGCAAACAGGCATATGTGTTGTTGTTGGCATTGATGCAAGCACAAAGTGGCCCTCCATTCCAATATGGAGGGGTTTTCCAGTGATCATTGTCATGGGAGAAACAGTTCACCTGGACATAGAATTGATTCACAGCATGAGGAGACTTTTTGAATCACAAAGAAGAGGCAGGCACAAACCAAGTTGATGGGTAAGAGTTCTGCTCTGGTTCCACTTGTAACTTTGTTTATTTTTTCATTTTTCTGGATTAAGTTTCAAGAGAGAAGATTCATCCTGGCAATATACCCAATCTATGAAAGGAGGAAGCATGATTGGATGGTAACCAATTATATGAAGAGGTAGAGTGTGATATTTGGAAAGGAAGTCCTGACATTTTATATACAGGGTGTATAAATGTGTATAGGGAGTGAAGGTAGCAGGAGTGGGCATCTTGGCAAAATGACTTTCAAGATCTGTCTATACCAAGACCTAGCTATCTCCAAGAGCTGGTTTTCCTATTTTAAGAGTCAACTTTGCCTGTTTTTTTGTTTTGTTATACAAATATGTTAATCTACAGTATGTGGTGAAAAAATGGCTACACTCATGTCCAGATGTATACCTTCATCCAGAAATGGAAATGGGCTGGAATAATTTTTTTTTAAAGTAGAGGTTGGGTGATTATTTATAAATAGTTCCAAGATTTTGAGATTTGCTTACATTTAGTCGCAATGGATTCCAAAAGAGAGGTGATCATCAACTTAATTCATGCTGGGAAGACCCTCATCGAGATCGCCAAGGCCCAGAACATCTACAGGGTCACTGTGAACAAGGTCTGCAACAAATTTAAGGCAGCGTCGAGAGGAAGTCTGGAAGTGGAAGGCCAAGTTCAACAAGGACTCTGGCGACGATCAGAGCAATAAAAGGAAAAATCCAGCGCAATCCCATACACTCCATGAGGAGGATGGCCAAGGAGACGAATGTGAGTGAGAGGACAGTCTGGAGGATTGTCAAAGAGGATTTGGGAGCCAAGTTGAGGGCCAGGGGTAAGAGGCAGTTTCTAAACGAGATATCCAAGGCCAAGAGAGTAGCAAGAAGCTGGAAGCTCCTCCAGATCTTCAAAAAGAGCAAACCAGTGGTTTTCTTCACAGATGAGAAGCTCTTTTGCATCAACCATGCCTCCAACAGCTGCCATGACTGCTACATCAGGAACCAGAGGCCTGAGGACGTCCCTGAGCACATCAGGTTCACCTTCAAGACCAAGCATCTGGCCTCTGTGATGGTCTTTGGGCTTGTGGCCTCAGAGGGTAAGAAAATGCCCCCTGTCTTCATTGAACAGGGCCTCAAGGTTGACACTAAAGTGTACATGGACATCCTGAAAAAGTCTGTCAAGCCTTGGATCAAGACCAACTACCCTCTGGACACCAACTATGTCTTCCAGCAGGACCACACTGCCCTGCCCACACTGTGAAGAAGACCCAGAAGTGGCTGGAGGTCAACTTTATGTCCTTCGGGGACAAGGATATGTGGCCCCCAGCTCCCCAGATCTTAATCCCCTGGACTACAGCATATGGGCGTTTGTAGAGGAAGCTGCCTGCAACAAAGCCCACTCATCTGTGGCAGCCCTGAAGTCCTCCATCACAAAGGCCTGGTCCAACATGAAGGAGGACTACATCATCAAGACGTGCTCAGCCTTCAGAGGCCATTTGGAGGCTGTGATCAGGGCTGATGGTGCCCATATTGAGTAAAATATATTGTCAGATGTTGAATTAACTATTGATATTTATAATTAAATAAGTTTTTTGTAAAATCTCTCCTTGCTTTAGTTCTTGACGAGGTAAATCTGGACATGAGCATAGCCATTTTTTTGCCGCATACTATACAGTGTCACTGTTTCTGATACCCTGCAGTTGCTAAATGGGAATCCTTGGGAATATTTTCAACTTACCACGTATTTTCCCCAATTAAAAACAGGCTAATTCCAACCTTTGCAAATATAGCAGGAATCTGCACGCTAAATCAATCTGAACTCAATCATGCATTCAAACCTTTTCCTTGTTGCATGCTTCAGTGTTGCGTTTGCGTGAGAGTCTACGCTCCTTCTTTGCCTTGCGCTCTGCTTTCAGTCTTTTTCTGGCCAACTCCTGTACTTCAAGCACCTCAGATAACCGTTGTCTCTCCATCCACCTGTAATTTTCCACAACAATGAATCCCACTGAATTGCAAGTGAGTGTGGAGAACAACTTGTAACCATGAATACCCTTGGTAAGTCTTGGCATCACAGACACATTGTATCTCTTCCTGCCCCTCTCCTTCATCAGGTACATGAGCTCCAGATGCAACCGTTGATGAATAATCCCAATCAAAGTCACCTTCTTGAAATATATCTGGCTCTGACAATGCATTGCTCTCTTCATATCCCTCAGGCTCACTGCTACTATCATTTCCTTCCTTGTTTTTTTCATCATAAATGAAAAGATCAGGTCTCTTCTTCTTCAGAGATTTCCTTAATGTCTGAAAAGAACAATGTTGGCAGTGTCATCAAATACCAAAGTAAGCCCAATCATTTTGTTTCCTTCTTCAGATATAAATTGCAAAAAAAATCTAAGTAACGCAATAAGCTACAGTAGCTAACCTTCAGTCTGCTAAGTTGCTCCTTGAGAAGATCAATCTGTTCATCAAGGAAAGCTTTACTCTCATGCCATGCTTCTATTGGATGGCTCGAGGCAGAACTTGAGCAGTTAAGTTCAAGGCTTTCTGTCACCTGACATCTTACTTCTTCCCCTTTCTGGGAACTGGGAACCTCTTCTGTTATCTTAACAGGAGTTGGCATGGTTGTAGTTACTGATGGCAGTGGGGAGGTTGAGGATAATATCTCTCTGGGTTCAGTTTCAGCATGCTATAATAAGGAATGATGGGGAAAAAAAATGAAAGGCAGACTCAAATCTCCTGAAATGTCAAGATTTTCCTTACCTCCAAATTGAAGAGCTCAGTGGAGATGTCAGCGATGACATCATCCAATTTGGACATCTCAATTTTGTTTACCATCTTATTGATGGCATCAACATCAACATCCATATATGAGGTTTCACCAGCAGTTGTATTAACTGATGAAGCAGGCTCCATTTCATCCAATGATCGGCGTTGGTATCCTTTCCTATTCAAATTTTCCTTCTTCTGTCTCTCTTCGTTCTTTTCTAAAAAAAAAAAAATTAGTCATTATCATCTTCAACAGAGACTAAGTTCTTAGAGATTATAGGTTTCATACCATTTCTCTTTTTCTTAGGATTATCTTTATCATCACAGATGCAGACACCATTCTTCAGCACTCCCATTCCAGCTGATCGACACTTCTTCATCCTCCATCTATATAAGACATACACTGAGTTGGACCACATCCCTGACTGTATTCCATTCAAAGAAGTTTTTTTACCTGTTGCCTTCCTTGAAACAGGTCCATTTCTGGAATTCCTTACAAGGACCCTGGAATTCTGAGTAGGAACAAATCTGAGAAACACGTTCTTTTTTGCTATGCCATGCAATGAGGCCCCCATTACGAGAGTGAGCCTTGCCACCATGATTGTTGGCTGGTTTCCCACGCTCAATCAGGAAAGTATCTCGCCAGTTCACTGGACTTAATTCTTGGTTGCGTGAATATCTACCTGACCTACAAAACAGAAAGACATTAGACGTAGAACCAAAGTAAAAAAATTCTCAGATATTCGGATGATAATACAGGTGAATGGGTGAGGCTTACCGGAGGAGAACCTTGTAGAAGGACTTGCCATCCATATGGGATGGAGGCAAAACACCAGCAATATCCAAAAATGTTGGTGCCAGGTCAATGTTCAAAACAATGTTTGGGATCCTGGAACAGAGCAGAAATAAAAATCCTCCAGTAAAACTCAATGCTAAAAATCTGAGGATGATGAGAATGCAAGACTTGACTCACTCACTACCAGGTTGGATGCCAGGGCCACGTACAAAGAATGGCACCCTGGTGTCAAATTCAAAGGGCATGCTCTTCCCCTTGAGAAGCCCAAACTGGCCCAAATGATAGCCATGATCTGATGTGTAAAAAATGTAAGTATTGTCCAGCTCACCCAATGACTTCAAAGTGTTACATATCTGAAACAAAAAAATCCTAGGTACAACTACTAGTACCAGAAATAAAATTGCAGAAAAAAAATACTAGACAGAAGAAATCCTATGTGAAAGGAAAAGTTCTCACTTTTTCAACACCATCATCAACACTGAGAAGGGTCTGAAGTCTTTTGGTCATCAAGATATCTGTGAATTTTTTGTGAAGGGGCTCCATGGGCTCTGTCACTTGCAGAAGCCACTGTTTGTCAGCATTTGGAGCAAAGTCATAAGATGGAGTGCTGAAATATTGATATGACATTTCATTCCCAGCATCAGCAACAACCCCCTCCCCCCCAGTAAACTCACTGATGGGTAGTGACATTGAAAAACATGTGAGAATACTGAGGAGCTGAATCCTCTGGTCCATGTGGGGCAGGAAAGCTGAGGACCAGCATCACTGGATCTTCAGGATGCTGTACTCTTGATTCCCGTAAGAATGCCAGTGAGTCATTCACAATCAAGTCTGAGAAGTAGTCCTGAAGGAGAATATGAATAAGACCTAATGGGTACAGGGAAATCAGAGGCAATAATAGATAAATGGGGATGATGACTTTAGCTGTTAACTTTAATTATATACAGACTGTGATAAACATGGTCCTAGCACTTTCTTTTTGTGACTATAGTTATTGCCTCAGAAGAAAAGGATAAGCCCATTCAGGAATATTCAAGGCATTAAGACTTCAAGTAAAATGGCAAATGATCCACAAAAAGGTCACCCTCAAGCAGAGCAGATCCATGAAAGGAAGCAGCTTTCAATTTAAGCGGCTTGTTGCACGGCAAATGCAATCTGACAATTATACATGATGGGAGTCATGGCTCACCTTTTCATAAGAATCTCCATGTTTGACTTTAGCCCCATTAATGTTCAAGCTGTAGTTGTAGAACCGAGTATTCATGATAAGTCCCATCCAATGAAGCCAGCCCACTGGGATGTGATTTCCTTCATACTTGTTCAAGTACTTCCCAAAATACCCTATGCAAAAAAAAAAAAATTTTTTTTAATACATAAACCTCACACAACTTAGTATATGCCAAAAAAAAGTTAAAATGAGGTAAAAATGGCATTTATTTTAATAAACAAAGATTTTCTTCTCTTTCTCAAGTTTATATATGTAGCCTATAAAAAGACTCTGATGGAAGATATTCTTATGAATGAACTTTTCATGATGAAGTGATAAGTGTATAAATAGCCTGACATCTGCATTGAAGCAGATTTGGTTAAAGTTCTTGATGCAATCAACTGTTATACAGGGTTTCCCAAAATAATATACAAATTTAGAATGCCTTATAATTTTATACCCATGCCATAGTGATGCCAAATTTGAATCTCAAAACACTGAGAACACTTGAGAGACATCTCTCTTAGTCATTACTAAGTCAACTATAGATATGCATAACATAAAAATTTTATGACTTTCATCTTGTATGCAAAATGTAAATAGACCTCTGAAAAAAAAAGAAGAGAATAGTCCTGTCAGTTTATGGCCAAGGCTTTATGTCTAGTCCTGGTGTAGGCATACTCTGGTAGCACTCTGCTTGCCAGAAACTGATATTTCAATTGCATTGGGAAGTACTTTAAAATAAGAATATTTTAATGATACATTTTAAACACATTAGCATTTCTTAATTAGCACTTTAACCCTTTAATGCATGACTTTTTCTTTTTCACCAAGAAATTTTTAGCAGGTTTCACTCACATCCTAAAACAGGAATCAAGTGGGAAAAAAAATCAAATTTGTAAGCAGTAGGCCCAAAAATGTTATTGTTGCTCATTTGCTACAAACAGTATTTCCAGCTTTCTAACCCTAGCTGCATGGATGCTAGAGAACTCAGTCAGTCCGTCAACATTCATACATACCTCAACACAAAAGAAAATACAAAAATACAGATGAGCCTGGACCCTGGATAAATATAAACTTTAATCAAACTAAATAAAAAATGTCAATCTGCCATATGACAAAGCCAGATTGGTTTTAATTTGTTTGCCACCAGGAGTTTATGGCACCTCACAACTGCATAGTTGCTAGGTATAAGGACTGGACTGTTGCACATCTACTACGAACAGATTTACCTCTGGAGCTCGCTACCTGCGCATTCTAAAAATGTTTATTTGGTATGTAGCATATCTGCTACATCATGCATTAAAGGGTTAAGCATTTTGCATTTCCATATATATACTGGTGAAAATATAAAATACTTGTCTTAGAATGTTTCGTGTATAAAATATAAAACATATGTTAATTAGATACAGTGAAAACTCGTTAACTCGAATCCTGATAAGTCGAAATTCCGCTTATCTCGAAGTTTAAAGCTTGGTCCCGGCGGAACCCCATAGGACACCATGTTAAATGCTCCGTTTAACTAGAATTCGCTTATCCCGAATTTCCGGATATCTCGAATGAAATTTTCACTCCCGACAACGAATTTCTCACGGTTAACTCGAATTCAGGGTGAGAAGGGGGGAAAAATTTCTCTCTTGGGACTTTTTTAAAAAATTCTTTTGAATAGGAGGAATGACAAGAAACACGTTCGGGAGGATGTTCTTTTGTTTTTTTTTTTTCTTCTTCTCCCTCCTCCCACACAGACGCCTGTGGTGAGGATTAAAACCGAGAAGCTTCGGCTTTAAAAAGGCAGCCTCAAAAATTCTCTCTGTCTATCTATCGCTCTCACTCCGAGCCATTCTAGTCATATTCTACTTCCTTTACGCCATTTGTGTGGAGTGAGCTCACTCGAGAGGAAATCTGACGCTCGAAGAGAATGTACACTTTATTCGGACTGGCGAAGAAGGCCATCTGAAGAAGAAAGGCATCGCAGAGAATTTCGGGATTCCTCCCTCTACTCTCTCTACCATTATGCGCAGAAAATATAAGGTTTTGAGTGCACATGAGAAGCGCCTATTTACAGCAAGTTGCAGGAAAATGAAGACAGCCAAGCATGGGAACGTGGAGTTCACACAGTGCCAATCGACTTGTTCGAGGCAGTAGGGAAATTGGAGGACTTTCACTTCTCTATTGCAAGTTCTTTTACAAAGCAAATGAAGATCATTGATTACATGTCAGAAATGGATAAAATCCGAAAGAGCCCCAGATGAAAGGCGTTGCAATAAATTAATTTTACATATGGAGTTTAAAAGTTTCACTCGAGATGAATAAAAGCTAATTATAATGGGAATGTCGTGAAATCGGATTTTTTATGGCGGAATAATCGCCCTCTGGTTATGCTCCTTAACGTGAGTTTTTTTTTTTTTTGGGGGGGGGGGGGGCGATTCCTGATAACTCAAACTTCGGATAACTCAAAACGATTTGCCCGGTCCCTAAAAGTTCAAGTTAACGAGTTTTCACTGTATTATGTTTGGCAGGAATATGGGGAACCAAGACTCCTGGTTCCACGAGCAATGCACTTCCAGCTTCATCAGTGTTCACCAGAGTGTTCCAAAGCAACAGAGAGCTTGCTGGAACATGAATCTCTGAAAGGTGTTAATCCACTCATGATACCTGAATTCTTTGGCTTTAAGAGGTGAATTGCTGCTCTCCTTTTCTTCCTCCACCTTTTTGTGCACACAAGACTTTCATGCTTCTGCACTGTGGAAATGCTACTATCTGTACAGGTACATCCTACAGTATTCAAGCAAAGACTGGAATGCTACAACTCGTGCTGTAGTGTACAGGACCCCGTGTGGACGCATGCTCAGGAGTGAGTTGGAAGTGAGGCGATGGCTCAGATTCACTAAGAGCCCCCTGGGCATTGACCTCTTCACCTTTGAATCTTCAATCAACATCAATCACGAATTTTGGGGCAAACAATCCCGCATCATCAATAGAGTGAGTTTAAAGCAAGCCAGTATAAGAAGATATAAGTTTGGATTTTGCACTGAGGTTGAGTTCTCTTTCCTCTCTTTCAGGACTTGTCCCAGGGAAAAGAGAAAGTCACAATTCCTGTGGTTAACAACATTGACTTTGATCATCCTCAACTCCAGTATAACACTCATCGCTTTGCCAAAGATGGAGGAGTGCAACTGGTCACAGATGAGAAATTTCTTGTCTCATGCAACTGCACTGATGATTGCTTTGTGAGTGTCTCTGGTGTGATAAAAATTATGTTGCTGGTGCTAGACGAGCCAGTTAAATGTGTAATTGCTGACAGGACAAGGCAAAGTGTGAGTGTGCAAAGCTCACAAAGGAGGAATGCATGCGGATCTTTTCAAGAAACACTCTCCAGGACACAGAGATTGGCTACATCTTCCGCAGGCTCAAGAAGCATGCAGCATATGCCATCTATGAATGCAATTCCAAGTGAGTACCTCATACTTGCCCATGATTTCAGGTGTTCACTGTGAGCTTGCTCCCACATACCTCAAAATCAGGTGTATGTGTCGCAAGACATGCTTGAATCGAGTGGCCCAGCATCCAATGCAGACCAAGTTGGAGCTCTTCAAGACCTCCAGGAAGGGCTGGGGTGTGCGAACTCTTAATGACATTCCAAAAGGCTCATTTGTCTGTGCCTATGCTGGAGAGCTTCTCACTAGTGACATGGCTGATATGGTAGAGGAACCCTTCTTCACTCTTCCTGCTTGCCTGTGACTAACTTGAATTTCTCTGACTTTCACATGTTCTTACAACCACAGACGGGTAAGAAAGATGGTGATGAATACTTCTGTGATCTTGACTACATGGAGGTGGCAGCAAAGACTAAAGATGGATATGAAAGTGATGTTCAGGAACCTCTCTCTGACTCAGGTAAGTAGAACATCCTAATCTTTTTCTTGTGGAAAAGATAGAGGCATTCATGAAATGGAAGCACTCTGTTTTGTTCTGTAGAGATGCCCCAAAATGCTCCCAAAAGACCTGATAAGCACCAAACAAGGGATGCTGATAGTAGTGATGATGATGATGATGAGGACATGGAAATGGACCTTGATGACATGATGTCACCGATTCCTGATGCTGATTATCGTGGTCCACGTCCATCAACGGGTGCATCCCCATTGGCTATACTCACAAGGTCTCTACACTGGTTGAGTTTAAAATTTAAATTTAAATTTAAATTACTTAGAAGTTATTATATCCTGTAAATCAATTGCAAAATGATTGGTCTGCATACTGTGATTACCAGTGAGTTTATTTTATATCCAAAAATAGAAGCAGGACAGGGTCATTCAAGCAACCTACTGGAAAGGAGACAAAGACATCTTCAAGTCAGCCAGCAGTGAGTCCAGGTAAAAATTCCTTCATATCTCTCCTTTGAATCTATTCAGTCATATCTTTAGTTATGGATCTTTCTTTTTCTATCCAGACTCTTCCAGAGTTTCTAAGTTTCAAAAATTCACAATATCCTTCAAAGGTTTTACCATTTATGTTTCAGCTTTCATTTCTATCAGTTTTTCAAGTTATATTCAACTCTTAGTATTGATGAGGTTTTAAAATACAGATGCTTGAAAGCAGGCTAAGTCCCAAATGCTTAGAATATCAGGTAATAGGACTTTGGAAAGAGCTTCAATCACTCCAGAAATTCCAGGAAACATTCTTCAACAATATTAGCATATTCTCTTGTCAGATTGTTGAGAGGTCCAGAAGAAAAAGCCCCATGACTATTGAGGAATAATCTGTTAATTCATGAACATCCATTGCATGTTTCCAGGCAACAGTTGCTTCGTTGACCTGCTGGATCCAGATATGATTTTAGTCTTGTATGGCTAACGTAGTCACTAAGAAACCCAATTGTCATGATTCAATAGTTGAACAGAAAAGAGCAGCAAAGGAAATCCTTTAAAGTGTGGATGATTCATATCCAGTTTCAAGCATTCAGTCCTTTCTTATACCTGGAAGCAATGATTGTCAATAATGTAAGAGAATGGTAGTCCAATTGCTCCAATGCACTTCTGTGCCAATCATTATATGTGCATTCTGTAATGAAAGAATAAAAAAGAAGAGCTATAGGATGAAAAGCACTAAATAAATCAACAGATCTATTCTAAAATTATTTGCACAAACAAGTTGATTCAAGCTAAACTTTTGTTTGATTTTTGCCATTTTTTATTTCATGTGCATGTAGAGGAAGATGGAGGCTCCATGTGGTGTGGACTGGATGATGCAGGCAGTTATGTCATGGATGCAAAGTACATGGGGAACATTGCCCGTTACATGAATGTGAGTTGACTTGTGAAAAAAATTATAGAAAAGAGGACCACAAAGTTTTAATCAAAATTAAAAGGGGCAGGCTTTCCAAAATACAGCCTCTTCCTCCCATGGGACAGCTCAAGCCAACAGTATTGGCTTACTCTAGGGTAGATAACCTCTGTCTTTTACACCTGCCAAAAAAAAAAAATGATAACCACAAAAGGAAGCAGAAAATGACAAGAACAGAGAACTCTCAAGCTTTGCCGAATTTCAAGGTGCTTGAATTGTGCCACTGCATTTAGTGGGGCTTCATGAGAAACTGGTATCTCTGTTCTCAAGAGAGATAAAAGTTTGCTTCTAATTATGTAAATGAAGAATAATGATTTAGGAGAGCAAGAAATGATGGCTGTATTTGATGGATGCATATAAATGGCAAGGGGTCCGATGTTTTATTGAAAAACCAATTAAATAATTTAAATATATATATATATATATATATATATATATATTTGATATATTACATTTATGTGTTCTCTCTTGCAGCATTCCTGTGAACCTAACATCTTTGTCCAGAGTGTGTTTGTGGACACTCATGATCCTCGAACCCCTTGGATCACATTCTTTGCTGAGAGAAACATTCGTGCTGGTGAGGAACTGGCATGGGATTATAATTATACTGTGGGAAGTGTTCCTGGAAGACAGCTCATGTGCCACTGTGGAGCTGCTAACTGTCGACAACGTCTCCTTTGATCTCTGGACTCTCTCCATTCCTTTGTTACATTGGACTCAAAGCATTCACTGACTGCTGTTGGAATATCATATTGTTATCATGGTGATTCACTGAAACGGTTTTCATTCAAGCCTACGTGTGTTGTGCTTTCAGAATCTCCACTGTGTTCAATCTTTGGTATCAATAAACTTTTACTTCACTGGATTCTCTGATTCAAAGGACTCAGGAGTGTAATTCTGGGTTCTCTGAAAAGGTTTTCTCAAAACATTAATGTGCTTTCAACATCCCCATTGATGTTTTCCTAAAGAAAATTCCTTTCATTGACTATCATCCTTTCACTGTAGAGGGTTCCATTCATTCGATTCATTTCTTGGTATTTGAAAGTATTTTGAACTAACTTCTCAAGAATTCACAGAAGTAACTGAACTTGCCAACATATTCCCCCATTTCAGCTGAGGCAATCAGGAAAGTTTTCTCAAGTTGAACCGAGCGAAGTCATGAATGGACGAGTGCATGATTCCCATCGTAACAGTTAGAATCTTTATTAGGAGAATGACCAAGGATTCAAGACTCATAAAGCACAGTAAACATGGACGATATTGACATAAAATGAGTTAGTCTTGAGGGAAGGGGGATTTTGTGAGGTTTGTCACCAGGCCCATATTTCATGGTCATCTCACTAAAGCTGCATCACTCAATAGAAAACTGAAGTACTCCCATGTCACTCAGTCTTTTTGATGAATGATGATGGATGAAATTGATGTGGGACTACGGGGAAAAAGGAAGGGATGAGGGGGCGAGCATGGAAATGCAATCACAAGGTAAAAGGAAGGATGTTTCAGTTCAGTTCTCTCAATCTCTCGTCCAGGAAGCAGGATTCGGCAGTGAGAGTTCTGGGACCAAGGCATTTACGTGGCATGGCAGAGTCGATAAATGCTATAGAGTGGAGTAGGTGTGTTCATGTTATGATCAGAGACGGTCCTTGAAGCATCCCAAGTATGGAGAGTGGCGAATGCCAAAGGAAAATCGTGGAGGGGCGTCTAGCTGGACCTGGATCGAGGTGGAAAAAACAGAATTTTTGTTGAAACGGACGGACGAGAAAATTATCATTGAAAAGGACGAGATCATCTTCACCAACACTCACTACCTTCAAAGCAAAGCTACAGCTACTCAAGGAATCTCGAGGGCTCTTAGTGAGCTCAGGCAATCTCAACAAGCAGCCAATGAAGAGCACAAGGGGAAAAAAGAGAACAAGGTGAACTTTCTACAGTTGAAAGTGAAGGACGTGTGAGAGAGGACTAGAGGAAAATGTTTGGAAAAAAAAAGGGGGTACTAGAGGTGAGTCGGATCGGAGCTAAAATTAAATGCACTATTAAATTATGGTGAACGGTCAAGCCACAGGGACAATGAGGGATGGAACACGGCCACAAAATCGCTGACTTTACCTGATCGGAGTTCTTCGGAGGTTAAGTGTAGTTAGGGTAAGGGCAGACATACGGCGAATGGCGGATCCCGAAGGAATGATATGCTGGAAAGGGTTTGTGAACTTGAACCTGTTCAACGAACGGAGAGGAAAAGGCAAAAGGCCTTCTTTAGATTCTTTCCTTTTCCAAACCTGATCTCACCTCATCAAGCTGCAATGTGTCGGTGTCGCGTTGGTTCATCTTAAGCCGAAGGGAGATAACATTTCATTTTTCCTTTGTTTAAGAACATCAGTGATCTCCATTAAAATGACTTATTAATGCAGTAATGCACTCGGAGTTAGTTCCATCTGAATTAGGGCGACTGGGAGATCAAAATTTTGAATTCCTGACGTTCCGAGAGTGCGGCGACGGACGATGATGGCAATCAAGCATACAATACGACCGATCGTTTGTGCATGACGAGCATGCGATAGACGGCATGTGTGTGTTTTTGTATGTGAGACAGACGCATGATAAAAAAAAGAGGTAAAAACCTTTTCCGGGGAATGAGCACCAGGGCCAGGCTTGATCGTATGGTCCCCGGGCATCAGAGTACGGCCACTCAACGAATAGTTCGGGGATTTCTGCTTGTACACAGAGGCATCGATGGTCTTATAGGCACCTGGTCCTGGGAAATTGGAATTCTTCGGATCCGCCGGCCTCCCGCTCAAGCTGTACATCGGGGAGTTCATCTTTCCCCCCTCGAACACCCCCGATTTGTTCCCGATCAGCGGGGGGATGTTGTATACGGGACCTACGTCAAAAACAAACATGAGTTAAATATATATTTAAAATTATTACATAATCGAGTTCAAACGCGACGAACCAGGAGAGACGGTGGTCTCGTTGAAGACCCTCCCTTTGAGGGGCTTCGAGCTGTCTCCTTCGTCGCCGCTCACGCTCACGTCTTCCTTGATGCTCCACGCCGGGGAATTGCTGTAACGCTGGCGGTCGGCCTTCGCCACGTCGTACTCCGACGGGCCCGGAGTCTTGAACTTCTCGAATTCCACTTCTTCCTTGTCTTTTGGGGGCAGCTTTGCCACCGGCACGCCCACTTTCCCTGCATTCAATCGACGGTTCCTTTGAATATTCACAGCTGAATATGTTACTGGTAACGGGAGCTCCGAAGAACGTTCTGGGTCGCAATTTTGCATTTATTTGCCTCGCGGTGAAACGGGCATTGATCATTTCTCCGATTGTGTGAACGAAAAGCGGGACGTTATTCAATTCGAGTTCAGATTTAGAATCCAAGCTTTTACAGAAAAAAGTTATTCGATTGAGGCCTGATGCTAGGGGGCCTGCAGCAGAGGGGTTTACTCGGTCATTTTTTAATTTTAATGAAAGATATCGATACTTGTGTCGAGAACTTTCAGGAAAATAAATTATTACCCCTCTGTACTACTATTTAAAAAAAATTACATCTGATAATGATACAATGTATTGGAAGGCCATGCAAAATATTTATATATTTTTAAATAACACGGAATGCTGATCGAAATTACCTCCATGATAAGTCATGTTGGAGACATCGTAGACCGGACCAGGACCCACCGTTTGATTCTTGTTCTCGATCCTGCACGAATCACCCTCGTCATCTCACACCATCCCCATTAATTTCAGGAAGTGGCGAATATTTCCCCCCCGCATTTTACCTGTTTCCCATGCTGTAGGCGGGGGAATTGGTCCTCCTGGAGTCGAAAGTCTGGGCGTGGAGGCTTGAACTCGATTTCCCGATCGGCGGGGGCGTCCCTGTTGCATCGGGAAGAAAGGAAATCTCTTCAAGCGCGACAATACGACCTTATTCTTCTCCTCTGACAAGGACCAGTCGTCCAGATTGCAGTTTTGAGAGAGGCGTAGGCGGGAATCCAAGGTAAGGGACTGACTCGAAATTAGAGGCTGCTGTCTGGCGGGATACGCCCTAACGTAACCCCCTCTCTTTTTTTCTTTTTTTTTTTCCTTGCATCACTGGTTGGCCCTTTAAATGTTGTGTGTGGGGACTGTTGCTAACCGCGAATCCCCGACACGCGACGACTTCGATGGACGCGCTGCGAGATCGCGCCCGAGGGTCTTGCGGCGGGTGCTCTTTTATGGATTCGCACGGTTGGGGGGTTTCCAGGGCTGAATTTAAAAAAATAATAATATCTCCAACCACTCCCATTTCCTAGAGAGCGAAATGACAGGTATTTTTTTCCGCATCCATGCAAATCCATTCACCGCCCTTTTTCTTTCATCTCCGTTCTATCGCCTGGAATGATAATTCCGTGCTCGTTCCCCCTGCTCTCGACCGTACAGGCGGGAACAAAGTACGGTTCCGTATTTAAATGCCAAATGCCATGAATGGGACTCGCGATGATTGCAGATGATACGGTTTACAGGAGCGGAGAAAAATCTTTCCGTTTATCCGCGTCCGTTTTCGGGGGTTTAGGAGTGCTGGGATCGTAAACGAATCCCCGTGGGTCACGATGAAGGATAGAGGAAAATACGTGGGACGGTAGAAAGTGGGAAGGAGAAATAAGGTAGGCACCCTGGAGCACACGGGGCTCTTCCCATGACTCACGCGTGAGGGAACCTTGCCCTTGCCATATATGGGACGGACGTGATCGGCTTTCGGTATCACCGACGGACACGGACACGGACGCAGACACACATCAACGTCTGCATCGATCTGTTCCGTCGCAGTCGCGAGCGACCGCGATGAATGCCAAGACGGCGGTGAATCATCCGGTTTCCATCCCCTTTTCCGGGGGTTCGAGCGCGGTTTGCTCACCGAAATAAGACGGCAGGGCGACGGCTGCTGGGCCTGGACTCGCAAACTCCGCCGAGATGGGGCCTTTCCTTGCGGTCGGTTTCCACGGGTTCTGCTGGACGTATCCTCCCATCCCCATCACGGACGCTCGCACGGATGACCCTGCGTCGGAGAAAACAGATCACACGTTCACGGATTCACGGACGGAGACGGGGAACCAGAGAAAGAAACGGACCCGAGGAGTCACCATTGCGAGATGTGACCTGATCGATCTCGAGCTTTGCCCTCCTTTCCCTTTCCCCCTTACCTTGCCTTTGCCTTTCCCCCCCCCCCCTCCCCCTCCCCCCGCTTCCCTTGGCATGCCCTCACTCCTGTCATTGATCAGCATACGAGGTCGCCGGTCTCTCGACGCGACCGCATGCTGTCGAGGCTGTATTTGCATTTTTCCCCCTCTTTATTTCTTACGCTTTTAAACATCCTCTTCCGGAGATTGCATCACGTATCCGGCATTTATCTTTCCCCGCGTTTTTTGTAATAATGAGCTCGTCATAGTTTATTCTTTCACAACTCGGGGGAAAAAAAAGGAAAAGTCGTGAGGTTGCAGACCCCCCAGCCGAGGCAGACAGAAAGCTGTAAAAAAAAAAATTCCACTGTTACTTCACTCGTGACGGCGTCAAGGTTGCGCAATCGGTCATGACTGGTACTTATCCCCCCCCCCCAGCACGCCCGGTCGTCCTTCCAGCAGCCCGTAAGTCCTTGCATGACTGGCCGAAAATGAAGAGACGCCAAGAAACGCGCGGAGCAGTCGGGTTCAAGAGAGAGCAATCAAGAGGCGTCAAGAACAATGAAGACGATACCCTACCATTACGAATGCAATCAACCTCGGCTGAAAATATTCTCATGCACGAGGGGTCTCTGTTCATTTTGCAGAGGAGTATTGCATGCCGGAGAAGGCCAAAATCATTGCACATATGCGTACAAGGTGCGCGAATCGATACGAAATTATGCCGAGCCCACGAGAGAGCGAAAGAAGAGTGTGCACGAGGCACATATGATATCCCTTGGGCATTAATTTCGGGCGTCACGAGATACGAACCGAGAGACAAAACCGACGTTTCTTTCTCCCACGCGAACGCCTCTCAATGTCAATATAGAAAAAAAAACTTTCGTGGACGCGTGCATATTTGAAGCAGCCTTGAGGAATATCATCATTTCTCCTTCCTGGAGGTCGTTTAACCCGTAATGGCATCGGTGATCGATGCAAGGGGTACGAGCCCCTCGCCCTTCGCCTCGGGGAGCCCTCGAAGTCACCCTCGAAGTCCCCCTTGGAAGCGTGAAAAACCGGCTGCAAATTCCGAGTTGAGCGTCCGGTTGAATGCCACCCCACAAGGTCCCCACGATGCAAGGCGATTTCGTGGGAAGACCTCTATCTGATACTTATGAGTCTGAGATTGAACGAGGCCAAGGTTTCTTCCGGTTATTCTTCTTACTTCCTCCCCCCCTCTCCTCCCCCCCCCCCTCCCCCCTCCTTTTGCCCTCAGGACAGAGAATTTTATTTTCCTTTTCTTCTCGCGATCTCATGGTCGAGACAAATCTCTGGTCCCGAGTTCATCCTTCTCCGTGAGGGATGAAACCAGTGGACGAAACCAAGGGTTGAAACCAAGGGATGAAACCGGGGGATGAAACCAAGGGATGAAACCAGGGCAAGGGAGCAGCGACACCCGCCGGTTTCCCGCCTCACCTCTCACCCTTTAGATCCCATATCGCGTCATCGTGGAATTCGGATCGTTGCAGTTCGATCGATGTTTTCGCAGCTGACCTTGTCTAAGTGAGGACGAACCGGCGGGCGATTGATCAATGACGAAGAGATTCTCTCATGCGATTAGCTTCGATCTGAGTGTCATCTCGCTTTATGGCATCCCGTGTCGTCCGATGTCATAAGTAGTCATCACCCTGATAGATAGAGCCATCGGTGGCGTGGTCTTCTTGCGAAAAATTATTTACTCCTATATTTAACGTTTTAAGAACGAAAACCGCATCCTTTGTATTACCATAATTACGGGTCAGAGTCTTTTCCATAATTTCGGGTTAGAATATCTTCAATAATATCCGAGTTTTTTTTTTTTCCAACTTGGAGCTCCTCGGAGTATCCGTGGGTGCGCCATAAATTTGGCATTTGACCAGGCGAAGACCTGCCCCGAAGAATTTATCCGGCCTCGCCGAGGAAGTCGACTCCGTTGGCGAATCGGAAGAGAATGGGAAAGTTCTCGTTCCCGGTAACTGTTCCGTCGGGGAAAGTTCTCGTTCCCGGTGACTTCCGTCGGGGAAAGTTCTCGTTCCCGGTAACTGTTCGTCGGGAGCGAGGTCATGCATGTGCTTGCCAAATTTCGTGATTTTTTGTTGGCAGTGCGAAATATAAAAAAAAAGGGATTTATGGGAAGTACTTGAGTGCAGTATTGCATGACTAAGATTTTCTCCCTTTTCCGAAATGAGAATTAGGCGCTTAGGTTTTTGTTTCTGCGGTTCTATAATGGGACTGCTCCACTCGATAAAATAACGAAAATAATGTTTATAAAAATGTTCCTGACGGATTCGTCCCTCCGCTTTTCCGACCCTTCCCGTCATCCACACCCTCGAAATCCTGAAATCCACCTCTAGACGCGTAAACTGTAAGCGAACGCTCCACGCCTAAGGATTAGGGAACGAGGACTCACCAGGAAGAATGAAAATGACCTTCACTGGACGACGCTCGGCTGCAGACTGAGGAGATGAGTCAAGGATGCGGAGGACGTGAATCCAGCCGGGCCGGAGAGGGAGGGCGGGAGAGGTGGAGCCTTCCCTCCGGTGGAATCCACGTAGGCGGCCGACGTCACAGACGAGGGACCTGTTAAATCTCGCGTTTTACTATCCGGCTTTGTGCGTTTAAAAAGAAAAAAAAACGACCGGTGGGTCGTATCCCGCTCCACGCCATCGTCCCCCGTTTGCGTGCCTCGTTTCCGACTCCCATGTAAGGACGGCGATTTTCACCTCTGGGAGAAAAAAAACAACTCGTATCGAGAAAGATCTATCCTCGAGGCCCGAAAATAGGCCAGGATTATCCGTTCTCCCTCAAGGAAATCCGCTTCTCCTCTCTTAACGTTCTCGTTCCTAAATGCGTGACACATCGACGTCATTAGATCATGAACCCGACCTCCAGCTCGTGTTACGGAAGGAATTCCTCGTGATCGAAATCGTGTGCAGCGTACCCCTTTCCCTTCCGAACCTCGAGTATATATACTCCAGGGTCGATATGACTCTAATCGCATATCGTGCCCCGCCTTCTGTTACCATACTGAGACGCCGACACTCCACGGCGTCGATCCACATTCCCCATTCCGCCACGACTCGATGCGCAACGTCGCATCGTCACCCTCTAAGAAACGAGCGCAACCGATTTGCGTGGAGTTTGTTGTTGCCAGGGAAGAAAGAAAACGAAACCTGTTTTGAGTCCATGAAATTTTCGTTTCCGATAGCCATTTTCGATACAGGTCGAGAGGCAAGGTTAGGCCTAGCCTCGANGCCAATATCCGGTATCCGGTCGTTCCCGATAGTTCACGGTCCCGGGTACATCAACACCGTTTAAAAACCGAGGTTCGTTCCAAATCGCAGTGCATTCGAACCGATTCAGTCCGTCCATGACCGGCCCATGACCGGCCCATGACCGGCCCAGCCGCCTCTGGCCACTTCCGACGCAGACCCCCTCCAGGCCCAGACTGTGCCTTCAGATCCCCGTCAGATTGAATTTGAATGGGAAAGGAGAACGCAGTCCTTCGACACGTACCGGGGGGAGGGTAGGCCAGCTTCTGGAATCTTTCTTCTCGCTCGATTCATTGGCGATCATAAATTACGGGACGGAGAAGACTTCGTGACCGCATCTAATACTCTCAAAGGGAAAAGGAAAGTAATTTCAGGAAAGTAATTCCAGGAAAGTAATTCCGGGGGCGGACGGGGTGAAAGTGCCGAGCGGAATGGCTCATTCCGGCGAGGAAATCGTGTTCGCGGGGATTTATTGGCGCGAGATCGGCGTGCCGATTTTGTTCGTCTCGAAGATTTCGAGGATTCGGCGGGTTCCGATGGTCGATTCTTGGATTGCCTTTCGAGGGAATTTGGTCCTTATTGCCTCGTCGCCTCCTCGTCGTGCAGAATCTCCTCTGCCAATTTTGTCTCGTGCCAATTTTCCCGAGCATCAGAAGATTTTTCGTACGGGTTTTCGTGAAGCGGCCGTAAGGCCAGTTGCACCGATCGTAGAGGACGATATGGTCGAGAAGGACTTTAAACCAGGAAAGCATTTGCATTTAGGACTTTTCCTCCAATAGAATCCTGAGTTGACAACAGAAACTGGTTTCGTTAACTGTTAATGCTCCAGACCGGCCGAGCACCCCGTACCCTTCCGCCCCCCCTGCCCCCCCGCCCCCTCTCTGCCCCCTATCCGGTCGATGACATTTAAAATATCCGCCGGGAATCTTCTCTCTCTTATTCGCTTTTGCCTGATTTTAGGGTTGCCACGGTGTTGCGACTTTGCGCTGTTGGCTGTTGCCCCGCAGGATCCGTTCCATTCTGCATATTTTCCTCGGCTGGGTGCAATGCTTCCTTGCATCGTCCTCCCAGGTGATATCTAGCAAACGCATGTCGCGGCTTGGCGTGTTGTGGTTATTACATTTATATACTCGTGATATCGCACGCAAAGTATTGATAAATACTTTGTGTGCGATATCAAATACAAATACAAATGATACAAAATACAATAAATTTTACTTCCTCGACAAACATGATAATGTTGTCACGACAGATGTTCCCTATAACAGTGGTTGTTTCCTGACGGCGGAGTGCCGTTAAAGTAAGATAGGATGAATAGATAAGAAAAAGGGAGATTTCCCGAAAATTTCTATCAAAGTCGGCGTTTTACCCGACGTGAGAACCTCATCGAGGCTGCCAATATCCGGTATCCGGTCGTTCCCGATAGTTCACGGTCCCGGGTACATCAACACCGTTTAAAAACCGAGGTTCGTTCCAAATCGCAGTGCATTCGAACCGATTCAGTCCGTCCATGACCGGCCCATGACCGGCCCATGACCGGCCCAGCCGCCTCTGGCCACTTCCGACGCAGACCCCCTCCAGGCCCAGACTGTGCCTTCAGATCCCCGTCAGATTGAATTTGAATGGGAAAGGAGAACGCAGTCCTTCGACACGTACCGAGGGGAGTCCTTCCTCCGTCCTTTCATTCGCTCCAACGAAACTCCTCGAGTCACTAAATAAGGATCGAATGACCCACAGTAGCCGATAGTTGATTACATATGGCTACTCCCCCCCCCCAGCTTCCTTCGGTCAACACTGTCCTACGCCTTATTGAGGTCCACTAAACACACGTAAACCCAGACCTGCCCTAGCTATTCCGGCGCCCTGTGCAAAGAGACTTCCAACACCCTCCCCCATCCCCCATTCCCCCCCACCTCCTCCCTCACCCTTCAGAAGGCAGAATCTCTAGCGTCCAAAAAGACGACGAAACAGAGGGCATTTCCCCTTTCTGAAGTAAAACCGAGGGTGGCATCCATTATTGCTTCATTCTGGCACGTTTTGGCGCTCCCGGTGAATCTGCGCTCCGTGCGGGGGCACATGTGCCACATGCCACATGTGCCCACATGAGGGCTGGCCCTGCTTAAACCTCTTTTGCATTCTCCCGACGCTTCACGAGGGAGCAGAATCGAGTGGGTGCCGCGTTTCTTGTGGAACGACGCAAATCAGTCACGTGACCGATCTCGGATGAGTGCGAAGAGACCCCGAATCTTCGCCGTTCCCCCGCCAAAGTCAAATACAACTTAATGGACGATTTATTTTGAATGTAGAAAGGTCACTCATCGAGCGTCGCGCCACGTCCTGGTGCGTCGACGAGATCAGTGACCACATTCTTAAGATCTTTTAGGGCAGACGAATCCGTCTCGAAGGAGCAGCAGCCCCGACCCGGCACGATTCGGATCTTCCCCTCTGCTCCATCTCCCTCATGCCTGCGTGTACCAGACCATTTCATGCAATCCCATCGATAAGAGACGACTCGGGAAGCCGTACAACATTTGTCACTAAGTCCATCGACTCGCCCGAACCTTGGCGAGGCTCACCGCTCGTCGAGTGACCCTCGTAACCTAGTTTTTCACTCGAATCTTATTTTTCATGCATGCATGACGTCATCGAGAATCACTAAACGAAATACCTCGCCCCGCGAACCAAAGTATATCCTCAGAGACCAGGAAAGGTAATGGAGCGAGGAAAGGAGATGGAGGGTGCAGGAAGAAGGATGAAGGGTGGAGGATGGCGGGTGAGGGTGGAGGGTGGTAGGTGAGGGTGGAGGATGGAGGATGCAGACACATCCAGGCACGCCCCTGAAAGCAGGCCTCGCTCTCCTTCGTCCTCATTAATCTAATGGTAAAGAGATCGTCCAGTGACATGGCCCTGGTTGTCAGCGTGAGTGTTCCTTAGCCTATCTCAAATCCTTTTGGTACGTGCGGATACGCCGTGCGGATGCCTCGTTGATGCATCGATGCTCGACCTTTATTCGATGAAGGATGAAATTGTGATTTCGACTCACGTTCGGGGGCAGCCGATACTACCGAAGCTCCCTTCAGCCTTTCCCTGTTTATTAATGAGACTCTTCGACCGTTTTCTTTTGACCCGGTCGGAAAGAGGCCACGTCCAGGCCTTTCCTCTTTCTTCTCGGCTTTTTTTTTTTCAGGGCTGCCCCGTCCCTTTCGCTGCCTCCCCCTCCCAAGATATACCGATCGAAGAAAGCAATCCGTCTTCGGGCGTCGTTCGTCGCGTACTAAGGCCAAGAGTCCGGACAGTCCGGACATATTTCAGTCCGCCGGATCGCCTTTCCAAGGCCGGACGCTCTTCACGATTTCCCGAGAGAGAAAGGAACGGGTGAATACGTGACGATTTTTTTCAGTAGATACAGTTGATTCATCGGCGACGTTTCGTAACCGTCGGCGACCGGCTTCCTGCATTTTGCCCGACGAAAGTTCGCAACGCATCTACTCGCGACATCTATGAGAGATTCTGGAATCTATTAGTTCCCCCAGTTGACCACAGAGGACAGGCCATCCCGCCGCATTGCGTGCTCTCCTTCCAAGATGGTTTTGCTCTCGTTTCGAATCGCGTGAACCGAAATCACTTCGCAGGCGCTGCTGAGACTTCTGATCGCATTTTCGTACTTCTCACGACCAGGATTTTCAAGATATTTTCGTGAACTCGAGAGACATCACGAACTTCAGGGAGAGAGAGAAGCCTACAATAGGCCTACACAGCCACTGCACTGCTGAGTTTTTATTTATTTTTCCTCCTAAATGGACTTGCAGAATATAAAAAATTATTTTTACGGGCATGATAATTCTTTGTGGAATATCATTATTGAACTGGCATGCTCTTGAGGCACTGGAAAATTAAGACTGTAGGGAGATACGAGATCCGTTCCCTCGTCTCCTTTTTCCTCGACGAAAAAAAAAAGAATCTGCCGCAGATCTCGGTTGCAACATTGTGGAATTTGGGACGGGGAGCTCGGCTTTTCTCAATCGACTTTCCCCGTTTGACGCTTAGAAGTTCTTAATTATTTTTATGTCGTAGGGGAATACTGTGAAATTGATTTCCTGAAGGTTTGAAGTCTGTCGGAAGCTTGAATGAAAACTGCGTTTCAAACTTCAGAAAGAAATTCAGCTTCTCCACCGATCGGGCAGCAGTTTTAGCAGCGCTCCACAGATGTCTCTCATTTGGCTCCGATAAAAGCTTGTTCGTTTTTCCTCGATGAAGCGTCTTCGCGCAGTTTCGTCATATCGCAGCTGAAAAATGCGATGCAAATTCTTTGTCGAAACAGCACGAGGGAGTTTAGAGATGTCCAAATGGCGCTGGGGCCGGTTCGTAGAAAAGCTAGCACCAGGTACACTTTCTGCGTTGGGCAAATTTTTTTGAGTCAAAATTGACGAATTTGCACGAGCGCGGATGCACGCAGAACTGAAAGGATAGATGTCGCTTGGATCGCGAATATGCTTGCTTAAAGTAAATGTGCTTCCCTTGTGAGTGAGTATTTTGTAGTTTTCATTTTATTAGCTCCTTTCATTTCTTTATTGGCAAGTTTTATTCCAAAATAAATTTCATTTGAAATACGAGGCGTGTTCAATGAATCAAGTCAATAAGCAACCATAATTTATTACTGGGCGTATTATAGAAAGAGAAAAATATTGGAGTCCAACGTAAGTGCATTTTTCGACGCGTCATTGACAAATTGCCATTGAAGAATTGTCATTGACATTGATACATCTATCCAACCGAAAGTTTGCAGACGTCCCTCAAAGCACCCAATGATGGATCGTCTCAGCAGAGCGCAGCCAAGAACGGCATCGATCTCGGAAGTGAAGGCGGGTCGCAACCGGTGATGGATCGTCCGGCCCGCGACGGTTGGTGGTGTTAAACGGAGATGTGACAAAATGTCAGACGAAGCCCAACGCGATCCGTCACCGGAGGAGTGGTGGGTCGTAAATCACCGGGTGTCTCGTGTTGCTGTCAGGGCGATTAGTGTTGGCTGTTAGTTGGCTGTCGAGACTTGAGATGTCGCGGTGTGTATCCGGATTTATGGAGGTTGTCTTGGCGTGTACTGATGATTACGGGGTTGCCATACGAAGAAACTCAAATATATTCCCACAGCGATAACAAATTTCGCTCGGCAATAAATTGAGTTTCATGTATATATAAGTTGACTTATTCAACACGCCTCCGGTACTTCAAACGAAATTCGATACATCCTTAGATCCCAACGTAGTTATTTTGATTCACGTACAGAGTGTTTCCATGCCCGGTCATTCGACCGGGGTGCCAGTTAGTTTATTCCACATCGTCATAGACATCCACACGCGTCGACGATCATATTGGGAAGATTCTCGTATTTCGCGATCTTGTCGTCGATGAGATACAGCAGCGACAGGCTCCTCATCTTGGTCGGGGTGCAGCACGGCATCAGCGCCTGCCACGACTCCGTCTGCAGGCGAGCCAGCTCCTGCGAAGCGGAACCGGATTCACGCGACCCGCGAACGCCTCGCTAGGATCCGCGACCCGCCGACACCTCGCAAGGGAAGACGTACCTGTCGGATGATCGAGTGGGGATTGTCCTTGCGGAGGAGGGAGGCGCAGGAACCCTTGCAGTGGTAGGCGCGGTAGCCCTGCGGCTCGAGGATCCAGTTGTCCCAGTGGATCTCCTTGAAGGATACGTAGAGGTGCTCACGGCAGCATTCTTTGGACAGGGGGAGGCAGTCCACGCTGCTTCGTCTCAGTCTCGCGGTTTCCTGCAATGTTTAAAATAATTACCCTCGTCGTCTTGGTTGATTTCCATTACTTAATTATCATCTCAAGAGATGTTTTGTGTGGAGAACGTCTTCACGATGTTTTGAATCGGTGCACGTGATGACGATCGGACACCGTGAATTTACAATCGGCTTACGTCTAGAATTGTCAATTCACCTGTCGAGAAGGGTCGAGAGAGAAGATGATGGAAGGGCGAGAACCGGGTTTGTCGGAGATGACACCCGTCGCGTTGAGTCCAGGGGCATGAACGTGGCACGACGGACAGGTCACTTCCAGCAAGGGGGTCACGATTCCCACGGGTACCCAGTGACGTGCCATCAGCTGGATGTCCAGGGCCACCCAACCGCCACCTGTCGGAATGGAAGCTCCATCAGGGGCTTGGGGTTTCGTCGGGATCGGGGGCGGGGGCGAATCTCACTTCGGGGATCGAGGTGGAGAGTCTTCTCGGCGACCTTCAATCGATAGGGAGAGCCGTCGCCGGCTCGGAGTTGGTGCACGAGGAGGGTCAAACTGTTGTCTCTGGTCAATGCCGATTGGTGGAATGCGTGGGGCTCGAGGTGGAGGTAGAGGAGGGCAGAGGTGATCGCCCAGTTGCGGGATTCTTCGGGCAGTCGGAAGCGGAAGCAGTCGCCTCTGCAGGTTTCGTCGTCGGCTTTCTCGTCTGTGCTGGTGTCTGGTGGGAGGAACGCTTTTTTGCACGGGAAGGGTCCACTTTTGGGTGGTCACGCGATTAAAAAAATCTCGAAACATCGATGAGATGATTCGGGATTTTTTTTAAAATCATCGTGTAATTTTTCCCTCTTTTTTGCCGTGTCGACTCACTCCCATCCAATCTTACTTGATTCCACCGATATGCTGCCTCGTCCGTGGACCTTGACTTTGACCTTGACTGCATGCAGCGTTTTCAACAGCATTTTGCACGCGGTGGACACGGTTTGTCATGACATAACGCGGGTTTTGTTTCTGTTGTGCCCGTTATCGCACGACGTCCAGCGTGCTGGATATCATCACAAACTGCGTTCGGCACGCCGGACCCAAACGCAGCATGAGGTCGACCCGAACCGACTCAGATGGAAAAAATCGATCTTTCGCATTTCACCTAGAATGGTCTTCCTCGTTTTGCGACTAGGTCGCCTCAGGGCAACCTCGGGGCAACCCTCGGCGAGGCACCGATTTTTTTTTGCAAGCGACACGAACAACCCAGAAACTTGACGCAACAATCTTCAAGCCAGATGACTCGCCTTCCAATGGCTTGTCATGACCCACACTGACCCACACGGGACGGAACCGATCTTTCCCCTCCGGTGGACCTCGAGGACCCAACATGGGCCTCGAGGACCCAACACTCTCAATCCATTATTTTCCTATTTCTATTCTAATTCCGAATCACGACCCGGTTTCCGATTCCGATCGTACCGAAAGGTTCGAAGGAAAAACTTCCGCTAATGGGGCGGAAAGAACGAAAGTTTACAACTGCAAAATGCGGTTCTGCAAATTACTACAGGACCTATCCAACTTAAGTCCAACTCAAATTATTTCCTGTGCTCATGTTTCTTGAATTTATCAGCAATAGAATTTTTTTCTTCAATTGTCTAGCATATTAAAATTGCAAAGGCCAAAGGCCAAGACCATTATTTTCCCTTTGTCCGACGGGCGTCGAAGATTCCAGAACCGAAACTTTAAAGTTATTACATAATTTTTTTAGACCTGATTCTGTCTTCTCCTAAGCAACTCGGATGAAAATTTCCGCGGACAGATCGCGGGACGTCGACGCGATACTCGCGGGAAGAAAATGTCCCGTCGATTCCAGACGGAGAATTTTTCGACTTTTCAGTAGAAAACGGTCCGCGGTCGCCGAAAGTTCTGTGATCAATTTCTCGCAAACGCGTGGCTGAATGCGTGAAGCGAATTTCGCGGAAAAACAGGCAATTTTGCTAAATGAGGTCAAAGGTCATCTTTTGTCCTTTTATGCGCGGTATCTCCTGAAGGGGCAGGAAGAAACCGTAAAAACAGGCTATTTGTCATGACCTCGCAACTCGCCATAGCAGCGACCTCAACTTTCGTCAAAATCGGAGAAAATCATATTTTACATGATTTGCAGAATTTATTTCGGAGGAGACACGATCCACCACAGGTTCAACCTGGGAACTCACAGGCTCAACGACATTTGACATCCTGGGAAAGAGGAAGAGGGCAATTGAAATCGCACAGGGATTCCCCGGAAGCCTCTCATCCCGTCTTTCGCAACTCCGCCGATTTTGTTTTCAAAAACTTGTTTTCCGACGAAGGTCGTCAAGGCCGACTCGCGCGGGCTCGTCGGACCTCGACCAAGGTCCCATCCCTTTCAATTCCCTTTCAATCTCCAGCCTTGATTTTTTCCCCCAGAAATTTCAGAGCGAGCGACTGCGATCGACGCACCACGGACGTCCGCTAATTTGAAACGGACGTCCTCTAATTCGATGAGGATTGTGAAAGTAGTTCAAGTTTACCCCCACTGCAATTTCCGACGATCCGGTTGCATCCCGCCGCATCGTAATCGCTCCATCGGTTTTCGACGTCACCGTCCGACTTTAGAAAAAAGACCCTCGAGTCGACGACCGAACGACCCGCACTCGAAAGACGTCGACCCGCGCTCGAAAGACGTACAGTGATCGGAAAAGACGATGACTTGCTCGGTCTTGCCGTAAAAGGGGTCCGAGCTGGCGTGCTGGGTGCGAGAGGCCGGGACGGGCATGAGGGCGAGCAGCTGCTGCAGCTCCTCCGAGCCCACGCTTGCGTTCGGGGCGTTCTGCAGTCGCAGCTTCTCCAGGATCTCCAGCTTGATCTTCTCCAGGAGGAGCTCGCGGGTCGGGTCGGGTGGGGGGGTGGGAGGGGGTGAGGGTGGGACGGTGGGAGGGGGGGAGGTCACAGTGGAGGGTGGATGGGAGGTGGGTGGAGGCGTCGTCGTCTTCTGCCGGAACGAGTTGGATCGGAGGAGGTGGTTGTCGGCGTCCTGCCCCACCCGAAGGGGGCAGAGCGAAAGAAGCACCAGGAAGAACCGAGTCAGGATGGACAATCCGTACATGTCTCTTCTCCAGCGAAAGAACCCGTAGCAGATTCCTCCTCTTCCTCCCGTTTATGCTTACATCCGCACTCCGTGTTTACGTCAACATCGTGACTCCTTTCCATGTGCAGCGGTCGTTGATCCATTTTCCTCCTCGCTCTCTCGTCCCCTCGCCGGTACTGATTCCCCCCGTACCTGTGCGTGCAAGGAGCGCTGCGCATTTGCGCTCGAAGGACGGTGCGAGCAGCTCGTGCGGCAGTAAAGGCTTACTGCTTCGTGGAAAAAATCCTTAATGCGTCCTTCATGCGTTCTCGATGCGTTCTTTGTGTCCTTCAGATAAGGGTGCGTACGATCTCGGTTCTCGTTCTCTGGACTTTTCCTCGCAGAAAAAAATCGTTTCTCGCGTCGTCTCTCCAATAAGCTTCAAATTTCGTTCTCATTACGAAAATGGCATTGAAAAAGTCCCGACTTGGGGGTCAAAATCGTCCTAATTTTATTTCATATTTCTCCCCACCCTATTCGTTCCATTTCGAGAGACGAACCGAAGCGGCCGTCCACTCTAACTTTTTCCCTTCGTTTTTCCTGTTTGTCGCAGACTTTCAAAGCGAAGAAAAAAAGGGGGGAAACTTGACCATCGAGTCCATCGACCAGCGACGAAATTCCTGCAATCGCCGAGTGGAAAAGTCGGGCAGACCCCCAACTTCAACCTGCGATGATGACCGACTGATCGTTATCCTGCAGATTACCGTCGATTGTCCGTCTGGAATCCCGCCGGCAGGTTTGAATTTCCCGTCAGGCAGACTTGGCCGATTTTCTCTCGACCCACGAATAGACACAGCCGGTATCAGCCGGTATCAACCCTGTATCAGCACCTCCTTGGCAATGTATTCGAAGGCATCAGGATTGAAGGAAACGGCCATCCTACCATCACAGGCCATCCTACCATCACAGGCCATCCTACCATCACGCAGGCCATCCTACCATCACAGGCCATCCTACCATCACGCAGGCCATCCTACCATCACAGGCCATCCTACCATCACAGGCCATCCTACCATCACAGGCCATCCTACCATCACGCAGGCCCCGAACGAGTACCGATAGCTTCCCCACCCTTTCATTAGACTGACCTGGCTCAATCTCACTTCTCTCTTTTTACCTCTTTCGGAGGAAAATTAAAGGGAAAGACAGCAACGACGATGACTACAGGATGACTGTCGACAGCCGGAAAACTTTCATATCGTGCTGACAAAAATGCATCGCTGTCGTCGCTGTTCGAGGCGATAACGTAGAAAAATGAAATAAAATTTCTGTCTTCTGACATGCCGGGAAACGCATCCGATGGGCCGAATAGGAGTGACAGTGATGCCCGATCGCCGACTCCGACGGACCAGTTCAACAGAGGCGGCAATGATGCCCGATCGCCGACTCCGAATCGGAGTGCTAGGGTCTCGAGTCTCGCGTTGGCGTGTACCATGTCCGCTCCACGGAATTTTTTCATGGTGGGTTCCCCGTGAGAATCCAATCGACAGGGTCGACATCGTTCCCGTAGAAGCCCTACCACGAAGACTAATGCATTAACCCTTTACTGCATGACGTAGTAGATATGCTACATACCAAATATTTTTTTTAAATTACAGTAGAATAAGTAGGCAGCAAGCTCCTGAGGTAAATCGGTTCATAGCAGATGTGCAAGAATCCGGTCCTTATACCTGGTAACCATGCGGTCGCTAGGTGCCATACACCCCTGATGCCACGCAAACTTAAGACACCTGGCTTCGTCTTGTGACAGACTGACGTTTTCGGTGCAATCATTTAACTTCACGCCACTCCAGGGTCCAGGCTCATCCATATTTTTACATTTTCTTTTGCGCTGAGGAATGTACGAGTGTCGACGGACTCGAGCGTCCATGCAGCGCGAGCTAGAAAGCTGAAATTGCTGTTTGTAGCAAAATGAGCAACGATAGCATTTTCGGGCCTACTGCTTACAAATTTAAGGCCAAACATTTTATTCCACTTTCCCCGTATTCATAGGTAAAACCAACCAAATTTTTTTCGCCGAAAAAAAAATGCATTAAAGGGTTAAATATTGAGCTGTTCTCTAGAAAAAGGACGCATGTGCAAAAGATGCAGTTCGAAATAAATAATAATAATAAAATACATAACTTCCCAATGTTAATCTGAAGCTGGTCAAAACTTAATCATCAGTAAAATGGTATCTTAGACCTTTCCAGTTAAAAGTAAAAATAAGTCAATAAACGCATCTACAGATTTAAAAAAAAACTCTCGGAGAATAGCAATGAAATCGCGAATGTCCAGGACACGTCTCATTCGCCAATCACTCGGCAGCGATCCGTCAGTAATGCATCCGAATCTGCAACTGTTTCGCGGATGTCTCCGACTTCTCTCATCCTTCGATGACTCCGGCTCTTTCCTTCCCTTTCCTCACGTCTGGTTTCTTCCTCATTTTCCCTTTTGGTTTAAAAGGAGCAAATAATTCCGCCAGAATTTATTTTGAAGCCTCATTGCAAGCGTTGAACCGAGACCCTCGAGCCATGACTCGGGTCACAACCGAATGCGCCCAGAGTGAGAGCATAGGAAAATCTGCTTCTCCTTTTGCTGAATACGCATGTTAACTACTTGCTGACCACCCTATCCCTATCCTATCCCACCCTATCCTATGACTAGTCACCTAAAGCAGTGCATGGACACGGAAAAAGGGCAAATGGGCACATATGCCCCCTTTCCAGAGAACTCCTCGTTATTTCATAAAGCTTCGGGTTTTCTCTCGAGGAAAACAGCTGGAAGGACTTCACAATGCGTTTATTGATAAGCCAATACAAAGGAGAAGAAAAGGCGTCCCGGTTCAGAAACCCAGGAAATCGCCGGTGACACCAAAGAGAGGGTCGAAAAAGAAAGCTTCTTCGACGCCCTTATAAATAAGGGAGTCAGGCGGGAAGACGAGGACAGGGATGCCGGATCTGAGATGGCCGAATCGGACGCCTTCGGGATTCGAATCCGAATCAAAATCGCTTCTGATGATATCGAATCTCAATCGTTTTGGGACGAATCGCTTGATTCGAAATTCGACCTAAAAATCGCAAGTCGAACTCGATTTAAAAAAAAAGGAATTGAGAAAACGTTGAGCAAAGTTGAGTCGACTGCTCAAACCGATTCTCGATCCGAATCGCCGACCGAATCCATTCCTTCGCGACACGAGGAAAACTCGCTAAACGTCACGTTTCACTTCAGATTCGCGATTCGAATCTCACTGCGATCCCGATCCGGCCACCCCCACCCCTCAGTACGCCTTGGCGTGCTGATTGATCCAGGTGACGAAGTGGGCGACGTTGACGTAGGCGCCGGGCACGTGCTGCTGGGCGCATCCCTTGCCCCATGCCACCAGTCCGGCCAGGTACCAGCGGCCGTCGGGCTTCTGGCACACCAGCGGGGAGCCGCCGTCTCCCTGTGTTCACGGAAACGGATATTCTCAACGTCTCAATCTTTATTTTTATTTATCGTGTTAGAGATTGCGAGCTGGGCTTGCTCGGTCCGACGGAGGGCCTCCTTCCGTTAAACTTGCTTTTCCCCGCCTCATTTAAACTTTCTGAATCTCGACCAGGGTTCGTTTGATCAAACATAAATGGAGGAAAGATGAGTAGCGGCGTCGGAGAGGTAGGGGGATGGGGGGAATGTGGGGCAGGGGGGGATGAGGGGCAGAGGGGGGGGTGCAGGAAAAAAGGGAGGAAGCGGGAGTCGCTAGCCATCCATTATTACCTCACCACAGATCACGCAATCCTGATACATGCGCAAATTGATTTTCCGCCCGTAATCTCACCAAAAGAATCAGGCCGTACGCGGTACCTTGCCGATGCGACCAAACCTTTACCCACATTTTAACCGAGATCGATCCATTCTTCTCGGAACCATCGTCTGACGACGACAGCACCTCATAAAGCGACACGACACGGCAACTAAACTTCGGATGAGTTTCAGCTCGCGACTTCCGACACGAAAGACTTGCATCCCCCCCCTCGCACACCGACACCCACAAGGAAATTCGGAACCCCCCCGTCGAAGTCGAGCCCCACAGACCTCCCTCGAGACCCATCGACTCACCGTGCACGCATCCTTCCCCCTCTCCCCCCCGGCGCAGATGAAATGCTCCGCGTTGAACCGATAGTTGTGCGAGCCGAGATTCGTATACTGCGTGAAGAGCGCCTGGCACTTCTCCGGAGGCAGCACCGGCAGATCGACCTCCTTCAGGATCGCCTGGAAGCTGCCGTCGAGGAACGCATCCTTCCCCCAGCCCGACACCCAGCACCTCCTGTTCGAAACGGCGCGGTGAGTTTATCGGCGGCTCCTTACCGCTCGGGTGTCTGCTCCGTCGTGAGGCGGAGGCACCCGAACGGCGCCGTTAATTTCGAGCGAAATTCGTAAGCAATAAAATTAACAGCAATTAATTATCAAATATTATCATACGGTAATCTATAAAATAAATAAATTAAAATGAGTATATTTAGAATGAAAGCATCGAAACGGTAATGCTCATTTCGGGAGGGACTTACTGGCCGAAGAAAGCATCTCCGTATTGCGGGAGACAGACGGGTCCGTAGGCAGGATTCTTCCCGAAGTACAGAGGCTCGCTGAGGATGAGCAGAGCGACGTCGTTGTACAGGTTCCCGGGGTTGAAGTGTTCGTGTCGGATGACCTTGGCGACGTATCGCTCCTCGTGGGGATATTTCTCCTTGTATTGATCCACTTTGCTCACGTCCCAGTCTCCCACGCGGATCTTCAGGCTGAGGAAGAAAGAGGGGAAAGGGAGGGGATTGTAAATTCGGAAATTTGCTCATGATGGCGTATCCAACGAGCGACGGGGGTCCATCCAGTTAATATATTATGTCTCACGGACGTGAAAACGGTTCGAATCGCAGGCGTCCACGGCGTGAAATCCTATGATTTTTTTGGACGTCCTGTGACACACTAGTGTGCTGCTGACAGACTTCGTCTGTCTTCATCCCGTTCGATTAGAGAGACTCGTCTAACCGAAACCTCGCGAATTCGGCAGGACATCCGCATACTTCCCTCGTGGATCCTTCGATCCGAAAATCCCGTCCTTTCGACGCATTTCGACGAACGAGCCACGGCGAAGGGAACGAGGAAAGGCGAAGAGCCTCATCGCGTATAATTTTCACCTCCTGTCAGAGCCGTCATCATCATCATCTAGAGAGGAAATGCACCCAAGGCCAGGAGAAAAAAAAAAAAAAACCAGGCTTCCAAGAAACGCATCGAGCACGATATGCTGTCAGTCGTGCCTCTGCTTTCATTTTCTACGTATTAGGCTTCCAGATGATTTCTCACATAATCTCATTTGCCTTTGAAGTTCCTAGCAGGCAATTTATATTCATCTGAAATTTTCATGATTCAATTATGAACTTCTCGCCTACGCTTTCACGTGTTTCGACGGGGTGCTTCTACTTCGAAGGGAAGATCTAACCATCCAACCGAGAAATTCCAAGAAGGCACGTCTAACGGACGTCCACAAGGCGTCTGCAGGAGGCGCACTCTTCGACTGGCTTGCAGCCCGCTGACACCCTGGAGACATCTAGCGGATGAGTCTGATTCTATTGCTGTGGGCGGGGGGTGGATGGTCGTGGGATGCGGACGATGGGTGCCTCGCGGTTCGGGTAAGGTGGGTGCCTCGGCTCGGGTGCTCAGTACGAGTTCCTGGTCTCGTAATTCCGGTTTGGGCACGTAGAATGACCTCGTATTTTGCATGCTTTGTACCTCTGCAAAGACCTTGCGGTCGGCCGAATTTCAAAAGGGCGCGCCGGGTACATCCAGATCTCTGAAAGTACTGGATGAAATACGAAATCGGTATCCAGGTATTGCATAGAGATCGATATAAGCAAGCCAAATGTAAAATGAATGCATCGGCACGAACGCGATTCCTGACAATAGGGCCCAGTTACTATGCCAGCGCTTCGCACTATCTTCAGACGCACGGTGATCAAAATGTCGCGACTGCGGAACGCTCTGCCCCTTTGGCCTCTCATCCCTTCTCACTGTTCATTTTTTGTGACATTCTTCGCGATCTACCCGTTCGTTATATTATACTCGACGGATGAAAAAAAAAAGAGATTGCAAGTTGCAATCTCTTTTTTTGACAGATCATGCAAGTTGCAGATTTTACATGGACTAGTGAAGAAGCTCCAACGGGGCATCCCTTGGCTTCCCCGTCCCCAAGGGCGTCCAGCATTACATAATGGGGTGTCAGAATCCGATGGGGACGCCCATGGAATGATCCAATTTTACCGAGGCAATCGATCACTCGATCCCTCCATTGTCGGCAGGCAGAACGAGGTAATAAATCGACGTGGGATCGATGGAACGAATAGGAAACGAGCAGTCGGCGAGCAAGGACGACCGCCTCGGTCAGCCCCTTCCTGACTCGCTGCTTGGCTACGAGCCACGGATCACTTCCGTCGTATTTCGTATTCCTGGCATGCACGAAACGTAAAGAGCATTAAGTGTCCTCACTCGGCGGCATCGACCCCCTGGACCTTATGGGCGGCAGTGAGGATGGTTCTTTCGTCCAAGATCACTCCTCCACCAACGAAGTGGTCGTTTTTCTTGAGAACCAGGGCCATCCAGGGGAACTCTCCGTAGTCGGCCTGAGGAAGGGGTTCGAGAGTCGCATGACACACGCCCGAGGGTAACATACTCGCTGAAAGTAGAAACAAATGTCGAAATCTGCAGTACCTGTCCGTATGCTCCACTCGGAGTGATGATATTCTGGATTCCACAGCCTCCGCCAGCACCACCCCCGTATCCACCTCCGGCTCCTCCGCCAGCACCACCCCCGTAACCACCTCCGGCTCCTCCACCAGCACCACCTCCGTATCCACCTCCGGCTCCTCCGCCAGCACCACCTCCGTATCCACCTCCTTGCCCTCCCCCAGCACCACCTCCAGCTCCTCCTGCAGCACCACCCCCANCGTCCTTGGTCTGTGTCCGATTTGGAGGGGGTGCTGCTCCGGGACCGTTCGGGGGATTGGGTCTCTTGGTGCCGTGAAGTCCTTTTTCGGACTCGGAGCACCGAGGCACTCTGCTTGGTTCTGGGTAATCTGAATCCAAGCCGAGGAGGACAAGGAGGTGGATACGGAGGTGGTGCTGGCGGAGGAGCTGGAGGTGGTGCTGGGGGAGGGCAAGGAGGTGGATACGGAGGTGGTGCTGCAGGAGGAGCTGGAGGTGGATACGGAGGTGGTGCTGGCGGAGGAGCTGGAGGTGGATATGGGGGTGGTGCTGCAGGAGGAGCTGGAGGCTTATTCACAATGCGAACATCGATGAGACCAGTTCCATCTGAGATTCCACCCCCTCCACCTCCCCCACCACCGGGATTGCATTGATACTGGTCCAGACAGCAACACCTCTGCGCATCGGGGCAACCAACGTAACCACCTGCGACATCTAGGCCGAGTGCTCCTGAGGGGGGGACTCCAGCACCGGATGGACCGTATCCGGGACTGGGTGCTCCCAATCCCCCACTACCGATACCACCTAGAGCATCACAGAGAAGGAATATCCAGTTAAGGGACGGATTAAAGTCTACGAAATTTTACGTATTTCAGAAACGCTTGGTCTCTAACCTGTATCGACGCCGGAGATGGGATCTTTGCCGAGGAATTCAGCCAAGAGTCCTTTGGTGTCGATTTCCTCTGTCCCGCTTCCCGTTCGTGTACCCACACTGGGAGCATTCCTTCCGCTCACTGCAGAAGTTCTTCCGCTCACTGCAGAAGTTCTTCCGCTCGCTGCAGCAGTACTTTTCCTTGCTCCGAAATTTATTTGGGCCGTACAGACCCCTAACAACGCCAGCAACACGACCGCCCTCTTCATCTTAGAGATCACGAAGAAACCCATAAATGAACCAAAAATCGTGAATTTGTGGGATGGATGGTATATACTCAAATGAAACAGTCCAATAGTAGCGTATGGCTTAATCGACTAGCAGAAAGGGAAAGGGGCACGCTGCCATCGATCATAGGTTAGCTACAACTTCTCTTTTTCTACTTGCTCCAAAGGATCGCCAATTCGCGTATGAAGTCAAAAAGCGTTATCATGGTCATAGCTATGCGAGATGCGGAAAAACTTGAGTACTTCGAAGATGCTTTCACAAATGGGACTCAGAATATATGGAGGACATTCGCCTCTCCGACGAACGTGAGGAGCGTATGAGGAAAACGCTCCTCAAAGGACAGAAAACCGGCAGGAACACGGAATTCCCTCCTTAACCGATCCGTTGATAAAGGGAAGCCTTGGACGTGACGGGTCGGAGCGAGCGTCCGTCCTACCCTTCGGGCCATGACCATCGCATGGATTGGGAGGCAGAGCGAGGACGGTACCTTCTGCTGGGGCTCGCAGGAGGGATCGTCCTTGGTCTGTGTCCGATTTGGAGGGGGTGCTGCTCCGGGACCGTTCGGGGGATTGGGTCTCTTGGTGCCGTGAAGTCCTTTTTCGGACTCGGAGCACCGAGGCACTCTGCTTGGTTCTGGGTAATCTGAATCCAAGCCGAGGAGGCTCATATCAGAACTTACAACTACGTCGCTGCCAAAAAATAAAAAAGAACCAAGATCGGATTGCTGGAAGTTGGTCGTAGGCAGAAACGAACGCGACACAGGAAAGAGGAAGAGAGATGCCAAGATCACAACGGGCAGAAAGAGACTGGACGAGGGACGAGAGCGCGGATCCACTTTTTTAAGCGGCGAGCGGGTTCGTGACGCCACCGGCAGCGGCGACCGTGATCCGCTCAAGGTGAGGCGAGGGATGAGCACGCGATGGTCATTCCTCTCCTCTCGAGGGGGGGGGGGGGGGGGGGGGAAACC